AAAGACTGATCAGCCCTGGCTAGTGTTGCTCAATTGGTTGAGTGTCATCCCATGCACCTAGAGGTGGCTGGTTTGTTTCCCAGTCAGGGCACATGCTCGGGTTGAGAGTTTGATCCCCAGTAGGGGGCAGGCAGGAGGCAGCAGATGGATGTTTCTCTCTCTCATTGATGTTTCTCTCTCTCCCTTTCCTTTCCTCTTTCTCTAAAATAATAAAAACATACTTTAAAAAAAGATTAACAAATTTTTAAAAAATCATATGATCATATCAATGGAGGCAGAAAAAGCATTTGACAAAATCCAACATCCATTTATGATAAAAACTCTCAGCAAAATGGATATAAAGGGAACATACCTCAACATAATACCGGCCATGTATGACAAACCCACAGCTAATATCATATTCAAAGGTGAAAAGCTGAAAAATTTTTTTAAGATCAGGAGCAAGGCAAGGATGTCCAATTTCACCACATTTATTCAACATAGTACTGGAAGTCCTAGCCATAGCAGTCAAACAAGAAAAATAAATAAAAGGCATCCATATTGGAAAGGAAGAATTAAAACTGTCCTTATTTACAGATGTGTGACGGCATATATAGAGAACCCTAAAAAACTACCAAAAAACCTATTAGAACTAGTAAATGAATTCAGTAAAGTAGCAGGATACAAAATAAATATCCAGAAATCTGTTGTATTTTTATACACTAATAACAAATTATCAGATAGAGAAATTAAGGAAACAGTTTCATTTATAATGCATCAAACAGAATAAAATACCTAGGAATAAATTTAACCAAGGCGGTAAAATACTTGTATTTGGAAAACTATGACATTGAAAAAGATACAAATAAAAGGAAGGATATACCATGGTCACAAATCAGAAGAATTAGCATCATTAAAATGTCCTTACTACCCAAAGCAATATACAGATTCAGTGCAACCCTTATCAAAATACCAATGACATTTTTCACAGAACTAGAACAAATAATCTGAAAGTTTATATGGAACCACAAAAGACCCTGAATAGCCAAAGCAATCTTGAGAATAAAACACAAAGTTGGACGTATCATGCTACCTGATCTACAAGGCTATACTACATGGCTATAGTAATCAAACAGTGTGGTACTGGCATAAAAACAGACACATAGATCAATGGAAGAAAATAGAGAACCCAGAAATAAACCCATGCTTATATGATCAATTAATCTATGACAAAGGAGACAAGAATATACAATGGGGTAAAAACAGTCTCTTTAATAAAATAATGTTGGGAAAATTGGACAGATACATGCAAAAAAAATGAAACAGAATCATTTTGTTACATCATATGCAAGAATAAACTCAAAATGGATTAAAGACTCAAATTTAAGACCTGAAACCAAAAAATTTCTAGAAGAAAACAGGCAACAAAGTCTTTGACATCACTTTCAGTAATATTTTTTTTATGTGTCTCCTTGGACAAGGGAAACAAAAGGAAAAGTAAATACAAATGGGACTACATCAAACTAAAACTTTTTTGCACAGCGAAGGAAACCATCAACAAAACAAAAAGACAACCTACAGAATGGAAGATGTTATTTGCCAATGATATATCTAATAAAGGGTTAATACCTAAAATATAGGGTGTCCCCCAAAATGTATACATACTTTTAATGATTATAAAGTCAGTGTTTATTAAGATAGAGTTCATTTTCAAAATTTAAAAGAATCTACAGTAATGATTTTTTATGTCAATGTCTGTTTTCAAACTGATGACTGTTCTGGTCCAGGCACTGCTGATAATGTGAAGCAATAGAATTTTAAAAATCAAGAATCATTTTCATTGGGTATTTGTGCACCCTCAATTCAAAAACTGTTGCCAGTTTTGTACAGTAAACTTTATCTTTTATGTATCCCCATAAAAATTCTAGTAGATAAGTTTTCTTTGTTCAAAGCTTAGTCTGGCTTCACCCATTATTTCAAACCAGTTAAACCTGAAAAGGAGTCAAAATTAAGTGAGGTATAAACTGTTAAAGTATGTATACATGTTTTAGGGACACCCTGTATATAAGGAGGTCATACAACTTAACACCAAAAAAAAAAAAAAACAACCAATGTGATTAAAAAATGGGAAGAAGGCCTGAATAGACATTTCTCCAAAGAGGATGGTCAAGAGACATATGAAAAGATGCTCAGCATCTCTAATCATCAGGGAAATGCAAATAAAAACCTCAATGTGATATTATGTCACACCTGTCAGAATGGCTATCATCAGTAAATCAACAAACAAGTGTTGGCAAGGAAATGGAGAAAAGCAAATCCTCATACACTGTTGATCAGATTGCAATTGGTGCATCCACTATGGAAAACAGTATGGAGGTTCCTCAAAAATTTAAAAATAGAACTACCATATGACTCAGCAATTCCACTTCTGGGTATTTATCTGAAGAAATCTAAAACACTAATTTGAAAAGACATATGCACCCCTATGTTCACTGCAGCATTATTTCCAATAGCTAAGATAAAGAGGCAACCTAAGTGTCCATCAATAAATAAAGGGATAAAGAGGTAGTACATATATACAATGGAATATTAGTCAGCCATAAAAAAGAATGAAATCTGCCATTTGCAGCAACATGGATGGACCTAAAGAGTATTATGCTAAGTGAAATAAGTCAGACAGAAAAAGAAAAATACCATATGGTTTCACTTATATGAGAATTTAAAAAACAAAATAAATGAATTAACAAAACAGAAACAAACTTATAGATACAGAGAATAAATTGATGGGTGCCAGATGGGAGGGGGGTTAGGGGGCTGGGTGGAAAAAAGGAAGTGATTTAGATGTATAAATTGCCAGTTATAAAAACAGTCATGGTAATGTAAAGTACAGCACAGGAAATGTAGTCAATAATATTGTAAAAATTATGTATGGTGTCAGATGGGTACTTTACTTATTGGGGTGATTACTTTGTATGTTACATAAATGTCTAATCACTATGTTGTACACCTGAAACTATTATAATATTGTATATCAGCGTTAATTGAAAAAAATGTTTTTAATTTCTTTAAAAAAGATAATAATCTCTCTCCACCCAGAGATTAATCAAAGAACTTATATGTTTATAAGCATAATCCATGGACACAGACATTGGTCTGGGGAAAGCCTCAGGGTGGAGTGGATGTGGGGTGGAGGGGATCAATGGGGGGTAAAGAGGGGCATCTGTAATATTTTCAACTAAAAATAAATAAATAAATAAATAAATAAATAAATAAATAATAGATAAATAAATAAATAATAGATGATAGATTGATAGATAGATAGATGATAGAGATATAGATAGATGATAGATAGATGATAGATGATGATAGATAGATGATAGATAGATAGATGATAGATGATAGATAGATAGATAGATAGATAGATAGATAGATAGATAGATAGATAGATAGATGATAGATAGAAGATAGATGGAAGATAGATAGATAGATAGATAGATATAGATAGATAGATAGATAGATGATAGATGATAGATAGATAGAGATAGATAGATGATAGATAGATATAGATAGATGATAGATAGATAGATATAGATAGATAAATGATGATAGATGATATAGATAGATGATAGATTAGATGATAGATAGATAGATAATAGATAGATTGATAGATAGATAGATAGATGATAGATGATAGATAGATATAGATAGATAGATGATAGATAGATAGATAAATGATAGATAGATTATAGATGATGATGATAGATAGATAGATGATAGATAGATGATAGATGATAGATATAGATAGATAGATGATAGATAGATAGATAGATAGATAGATAGATAGATAGATGATAGATGATAGATAATGATAGATGATAGATAGATGATAGATAGATGAGATAGATAGATAGATAGATATAGATAGATAGATGATAGATAGATGATAGATGATAGATGATAGATGATAGATAGATGATAGATGATAGATGATAGATAGATAGATAGATGATAGATGATAGATTAGATAGATAGATAGATAGATAGATAGATAGATAGATAGATAGTAGATAGATATTAAGACAGTCAGAGAAAGACAAGTACCATATGATTTCACTCATATGTGGAATTTAATGAACAAACTGAACTACCAAGAAAAATAGAGACAGACTTATAGATAGAGAGCAGGGACATAGCTCTGGTGCGAGGGGTAAGTGTGTTGGGGGGTGGAGGGATTGAGCAAAAATAAAAAGAGAGAGAGAACTTGGACATGGACAACAGTCTGGTGATTGCGGGAGCTGGGGAGGTAGAAGAGGGCATAGAGGGGATAAATGATGATGGAAAAATTAAATTTAATTTAATTTAAAACTTTTTTAAAAGAAAAAAGAAGGGTTACAGAAGGGAAACACAATATTTCACACCATTCAAGAGCATAGTATAGCTCACTATAGTAGGGACACTTTGCTTTTTCTCTGACACTAGGAAAGGTCCCTGTAATATCTAATACAGCTGTTTTCTCCTAGCTTGAACAATACATTCTCCCTTTCTAAACACAAGGGTCATTCATTCTTCCCAGGACTCTTTGGAGGGTTACTGCCAAGTCTATCACACTCTCCTTTTAGAAACAGTCCCATGGGACAGTTCCCCCAATATTATTATGTTTATACTAAATTAGCTGGGCCCTTGAACCATAGCTGATTTGATCCAGGGTGAAATTCTGACCCAACTCAGATCAATTGAATTCTGCTTTCTGGAAATTCGGAATTAGGACTAAGAAATGCTAGTTAAACTCTCTTAGGTACTTGTATATTTTACTATAAATATATGAAGGGGCAGAAAAATAAACAAATAGAGAAGGGAGAGGGAATCTGGAGGAGAGGGAAAAGTAGAGGGAGGGAGGAGAGATGGAAAAAGAGAGAGAGAAAAGAGGAGGAAAATGGAGAGTAATGAATGACATTATAAGAGAAAAGGGCTCTGGATCTCATGGTCCATGTCACATTGTGCCATCTATCTCATCTTTCCAGATTCCTGTGTTCAGCAGTGGAAGATTTTGTGGTTGATATTGTAAAGGCCTGGAGTCAGATAAAACAGAACAATACAGCAATAGAGTCTATGATTTTGAAAGTAAGTTTCCATTCCTTTTGTCTTGCACTCTTTGTGGAGCCAGGTGCCTCTCACTGGGAATTGTAAAAGAAAGGCAGGGAGGAGTAACTGGTAAGCCTCCCTGATGAGGAAAGTCCACCTCATCAAACTTCCATCTTTCATATGAAGAGTGACACTATTCATGCTTATACTTCATGTACCTAACTATATGCCAAGCATCTACCCACACCTAGACACAAGTGTACACCAAGCATGTATGCATATGGCTGTATACCAGAACATGCTTGAAAATATGTACAAACAAATACATGCTAGAACTACACCCACATTTACCTCTATAACAACAGCAACAATAATAGCTAACACTTATAATAGCACTTACTCTGTTCCAGGAACTGTTAAGCACTTTTAATGTATTATTTTATTTAATCCTCACAATTGCCTCAGAATATAGAAGCACAAAGAGGTTAGGTAACTTGCCTCAAGTCACAAACTATTAAGTGATGTAGTTGGGAATCAAGCCTTGATTAGTCAGCACATCCCCAAACATGCACACATACAAAAGCAGACACACCAGGCACCCATGCAGGGACACATTCACACCCATAGGATTATGCCAATGAAAATAACAATTCAGAAATAGTTACTTTTCCTCAAGTTGGTCAAGTCATTTTATAGGCCAGTCTAACGTGAAAAAAACTTGGCAACATACATTGGTTCCTGCAGCTGCTCAGAAACAAATGAAATCTGTTTGATCCCCTAACACTTTTCGGTTATCCGATCACATCTACCCAAGTACTTTTTTCCCAAACTTCCATCTCCCCACAGATAATTTTCCACGCTCAATGTTTCTGGCCAACTACTACCCCTCCCCACCTCTTCCCATACTGCTCCAACTCCTCATTCTGTCCTCTCAAGCGCAGGTCCTTCATAACAATGCCCTGTCTCCTTTCTCCCTACATAGAGTGACTTAATGTATGACAAGCTCAGTGTCCTGATTGATGTCCTGGCTGAGGATGCAGCAGTTGAGAAGAGTGCTACAGTATGTGCAGACAGTAGCAAGGCAGATGGAAAGCCCTTCATCCCTCGAATAGACCACACAGCCAAGTGCAAGTTGGAGCTGGCCACAAAGGCCAAGAATCTCCAGAAATCCTTAAAACTCATTATATTCCAAGTTGAACAAGGTAAGGTTGTGATTGAGGTAGGAAAAAAGGAAAGTTCCAGTGGATGGTTTACTGGTCTCCCTATGTTTTCTATTTGACTCCACTACCAAAACTCTGCATTCATATAGCATCCAAAATCAGTACTCAGGCACTGCTGATTTGAAAAGTGTCAGTCCTTATGATAAGCTTCCACTTTGGCTCCTCCTACCTACCAGGCATTCAACTCTTGCTATTCATTTATTTTTAGAATTAAAACTAATTCTAAACAATGACAGCTGTTCAAAGCTCTGTCAGCTTCCACCACCAGCCATGAATTTTTTTTAACCTATTCCTGTTTCTGTCCAACCACCAAGTCTGTGACTATTTTAGAAGGAAAAATAGTCTTTATCTCTTCATGTCTTTCACATGAAGAGTGGTCCTGGCAGTTCTGAAATTGATTGCCATTTCCCAAACTCATGACAAGTTGCAAGCTTTCAATTCAGTATGGAAACTCTTTCAACTCAAATTTCTTTTTTTTTTTTAAATATATCTTTATTGATTTCAGAGAGAGAGAGAGAGAGAGAGAGAGAGA